GCCTTTAGGAGTAAAATGACGCAAAGGGTAAATGTGGCACTTCGTTTGTTACCTTTTTTGAGGGTAGGCCAAGGGTTACAACTACTTACGGGAAACGAAGGGTTGTAACCGTTGGTTATTAATGACGCACGCGGGGAGTTATGACTGCTAATGGAATACGGAGGGACGTAACCGTTGTCGGAATACCAAGGGTTATAATCGTTGGGTATTAATGACGCATACGAAGGGTTACGCATCGTGAACCGTTGGATCTAAGTGATCCAACGGTGTGTAGAGGGGTGTGACTCTTGATAACTTTCGAGGAATGCCTATAAATAAGCGTGTTGGGAGGGTTCTCAAACATACGCATTTATCACTTGCTCCGAGCCGAGATCATCTGAGTAATGGCAGATTTAAATGTTGTTCATATTGACTCCTCCAGGGACGAAGGTTATTCTGGGTTGAGAGAAACGTCGGACCGAGACGTCGCATCGGCTTCGGCTTCCAATGGAGAGGATCGTGCAGGGTCCGTTTCCGGGTCCGAACGGTCGCAAAGTGGGAATCATTCTTCATCGGCGATGGCTTCTGATGATCAGCCGAGCCGAGGTGGTGCATCGTCCAGGAGTTTTGCTCCCATATCAACTCATGGATATTCATGGGTGCACGGGGAGGTTGGCAGCGTGTATTCCCGGTACACCGATAAGAACTCTCTTGTTCGTTTCGTATCGGCAATGAAATTCTTAAACTTTCCCGAGGAAGAGGAACCTTCTGCCATCTTTTTTCAGCCGTGCCGAGGTGATGGGGGGCCGAATCCGGATTTCGTGTATTTAAACCAAGGGTCGTCCAAGTACCAGTTCTTCTATGTGTATGATTACATGTTCCGGGATTTGAAGATAACTCTGCCTTTTGATGATTATTTTGTCGGTATGTTGCGCCTTCTGAACGTGGCACCGAGCCAGCTTCACCCCAACACTTGGGCGGCGATGCAAGGGTTTAGGCATTTATGCTTGGCTCTCGGCATCCGGCCCACTCCGCATCTGTTCCTACACTTCTATTCGTCTCGGCCGACGAAGAAGATTAAGTGGTTGTCACTGGTTCGGCACAGTGATTGCCAACTACAGCCTTTCACCACTTCTTATAAAAAATTTAAAGTAGGATTTATGAAGGTGATGATTCGGCCAGAGCTAGGGAATAAGTATTTTTTCGATGCCGAAGGGAGATCACTGTTTCCGTTGTACTGGACTCGAAAGCCGAGGAAGTACGACACGGTATCCAAATCCCGAATGTCCCCGGGGGAGAGATCGAGTTTGAATTTTTTGGAGAAGTTGCCTCGGCCTTTGCCGTGCCGTCCTCTGGTCCGGTTGTGTGAATCGGCTGGTGTAGTTGAAGAATTGGTTGGGATAGTACCTTTTTTACTTTTTTTAATTTTTGTGTTTTCATTGATTTTGACTAATGATGTGCAGGTATCATGGAGAATCATGGAGAGGACGATTTGGATATTCGCACACTGATCAGGAATCAAGTGGCGGCAACCACTACGAATAGGACCCCGACCGGCATGCTTGGGAATCAACCATCTGCCCAAGGTGGTGGAGCGGGGCCAACAGTCAGGTCGAAGAAGCCGACTCGGCCCCAGCCTGAAAAAAGAAGGCCTGAACCAAGGGCCGAGGAAGAGAGCCGTCGGGCCAAGCAGCGCCACGTGGCTGGTCCACATGTTCCGGAAAGCTTGGCTGGACCAAGTTTTTTGGCTGGCAATGTCAATGCTCAGGATTTTCTGAGCCAAGACTTGACCTCCGATCGGGTCAAGGGGTGCTGAGTCGTATGACCTCGGCTCAGAAATGGAGCTTCTTCTGTGAGTTCCAAGTGCGTGCTGTGGCTTTAGCCCAAAGCATCGTAATGGAGCCGAATGGCGAGGCCGATGGATTGCGTCGGCAGCTAGCTGAGCAGGAGAAGTCTCTCCAAGAGACGCTGGCGGCGCTTACTAACGTTCAAACGGCCAACAGCAAATACCAAGCCGAGGTGGATCGCTAGGGGCGAACAGATGATGACCTGGCTCTAAAGGTTCAGCGTCTTTAGCTTGCTTTGAAAAGCGAGACAGAGAAGGTTGTTGTTCTGAGCAAGGAGCTGGAGGCCGAGAGAATTGCTTTCGAGGCTTACAAGGAGAAAGCGCGCAACAAGGTCCTAACTCAGCATCAGGCTGGCTTTGCTCAGGCCGCCCGACAAGCATGTTTCTTCGGCGACTTTCCCCCTGATTTTCACCTGGATATGACAAAGGACTTCTTCCAGGGGAAGTTGGTGGACCTGACCTCCATCCCTCCGGACCAACAAGCCGATGAAGAAGCCCCAGCACGGCTAGCTGGGCCGAATGAAGAGGTGACGGCGTACGAGGAGGGTGCGCTTGAAGATGGTCCGGTTCAGGGGGAACCGGAGGTGGGGTCTTAAGCTTTTTGTTGTTCTTTGTAATGTTGGGCCGATAGCGCCCTTTTTAGTGTACTCTTTTTAGGCCGATAGTGCCTTATTAATGAATTTGGATTTTACTTGCTGTCATATATTGGTGCAACATGATATACGTTTAAAAATTATCGTTAAGTCACACCTTTGGCCGAGAGAGATCTCGGGAGGGAAGACTCGTAAAAATTAACGTAAGCCACATCCTTGGCCGAGAGAGATCTCAGGAGGGAAGACTTGCAAAAATTAGCGTAAGCCACGTCCTTGGCCGAGAGAGATCTCAGGAGGGAAGACTTGTAAAAATTAATGTAAGCCACGTCCTTGGCCGAGAGAGATCTCCGGAGGGAAGACTTGCAAGAATTAGCGTAAGCCACGTCCTTGGCCGAGAGAGATCTCCGGAGGGAAGACTTGCAAGAATTAGCGTAAGCCACGTCCTTGGCCGAGAGAGATCTCCGGAGGGAAGACTTGCAAGAATTAGCGTAAGCCACGTCCTTGGCCGAGAGAGATCTCAGGAGGGAAGACTTGTAAAAATTAACGTAAGCCACATCCTTGGCCGAGAGAGATCTCGGGAGGGAAACCGACAAGTAGATGATCATGTCTAGACCACCGGCCAGTTTAGACAATATCGGGGGCATGCTAAGCCGTTCTTTAAACTGCTGAAAAGATACTTCACACTCTTGGGTCCATTTGAATCGTTCCGTTTTCTTGAGCAGAAGTAGGATCGGCTTAACTATCTCGGCTAAGCAAGGGAGGAATCGTGACAGCGAGGTAAGCCGACCGGCTAACTTCTGAACCTCTTTCAATGTGGTTGGGCTTTTCATATCCAGGATGGCCTGGCATTTTTCTGGGTTTGCCTCAATTCCCCGGTTGGATAACATAAACCCCAAAAACTTGCCGCCTGAGACTCCGAACACGCATTTCTCGGGGTTAAGTCTCATTTGGTGTCGCCGAAGCGCCTGGAATACATCGGTCAAGTCGCGTGTATGCGCCGACACATCGCTCGACTTTACCACCATATCATTAACATACACCTCCATGCTCCGGCCAATCTGATCATGAAAGATTTTGTTCATTAAACGCTGATAGGTGGCCTCGGTGTTCTTTAATCCGAACGACATCACTCGATAACAGTTGTTGGCCGTTTCAGTGATGAATGCAGTTTTTTCTTCATCTTGAGGGTGCATCCGGATCTGGTTGTATCCAGAGTATGCATCGAGGAAAGACAAGAATTTGTGGCCGGATGCCCCATCGACGAGCCGATCGATGTTTGGTAGCGGGTAGGCATCCTTCGGACAGGCTTTATTTAAGTTAGTGTAATCGGTGCACATGCGCCACTTTCCATTCGGTTTTCTGACCATGACGACATTGGCCAGCCAGGTCGTGTAGTGTACCTCTCGGATGAACCGAGCGTCCAACAACTTGCCCACTTCAACTTCGATTGCAGCTTTTCTTTCTTCCCCGGTCTTCCGGCGCCGTTGAGTAATCGGCCTAGCCTCCTTGCTAATGGAGAGCTTGTGGCAAAGGAAATTGGGGTCAATGCCGGGCATGTCGGACGGGTGCCAAGCGAATAAGTCATTATTTTCAAGGACCACTTGCTTAATAGCCAGCCGTTCTTCTTCGGACAAATTAGTTCCTAGGTGAGTGAGTTGGAATTCGGACACTCCCACCTGGAACGGTTGTTTATCTTTGATGGGCTCGACCCTCTCATCTTGATCAATCCGGGGATCGAGGTCCATGGCCGATTGCTGTGATACCGAGTGCACCCCTCTCGGTTCATTTGGTGCTTCGTTCTTCATTTTCGGCAATCTCAAGCTGGTAAAATAACATTCTCGCGCGGTTTTTTGGTCAGCGTGGAAAGTGACTATTCGCCCTGATTCGGCCGAAAACTTCATGGCCAGATGAGGGGTGGACACGATTGCTCCGAGCCGATTCAGGGATGGCCGGCCGAGCAGAATGTTATAAGATGTGTTGGCGTGCACCACCACATACTTAACCAAAATGTCTCGGTACTCAGCTCCATCAAACCCAAACCGGGTTGACAGCTTGATATACCCTTTTGTCTTGACTCGTTCACCGGAGAACCCGACCAAATGTTCATCATAAGGGACTAGCTCGGACTCCGGAATACCCAACTGTTTGAACGTGTTCCAATAGAGAATGTCGGCTGAACTTCCCTGATCAACCAACGTCTTACGTACAATACAGTTGTGAATTTCGACGCTGATTACCATCGGATCATCCTGGTCCGGGTCGATGCCTTTGAAGTCTTCCTCGGTGAAAGTGATGGTGGGTAGGCGACGACGAACTGTCTCTACTGAATGGACGTGCCGAACGGCTCGCAAGTGTCTGCGTTGGGCTGATGAGGATGAGCCTCCTCTAGCGAATCCTCCTGCTATCATGTTGATGACTCGCCGAGGTTGTGCCGAAGGCTCTTCCTCTCTTCGATCTCTTGACCGACTGCGCTCTCTGTACGAACGTGCTTCTGTCCTCCTTTGTTTGGGTTGATCGTGCTGCCGCTACCGGTCAGCGTATCTCAAACGATTCAGACGGTCCACGAAGCCTTGCAACTGTCCCTACTTGATTAAATCTTTAATTTTATCCTTCAGGGCCGAACAGTCGTCAGTTGAATGTCCGCGATTGCGGTGATACCTGCAAGATTTGTTTGTATCAGCCCGGGGAGGGGTCGACGCTCGTTTTGGAACGGCCAGTACTTCTGAAGCAAGTGCTTGTTCTAGTATTGCTGACCGGCTGGTGTTCAGTGGTGTGTATTGGGAATACTTCGGGCCATGAGGGGGTCTCTCGCGGGGTACCAGTTCTTTCAGACGGCTTCGAAAATTGTTTTCAGCTGGCTTTTTAGGCTTAGCCGCTACTTCTGCCCTAGCTTGGTTGCGGAACTCTGCTAATTCCTCCATCTGCATGTATTTATCGGCTCGTCGCCGGAGGTCATCCATGTCGGTTGGTGGCTTCTTGCAGATGTTGTTGGCAAAGGGACCTGGCTTTAAGGCAGTGGTCAGGTGATGCAGGGCGACAGCCGGGTTAAGGTCTCGGATTTCCAATGTCGCTTTGTTGAATCGGCTCTTGAACGCCCGAAGGGATTCCTTCTTCTCCTGACGGATGCTAACTAGCGCCAAAGAGGTCAACTGGTGCGGTCGGCTTGTAGCGAATTGAATGGTGAATTGGGAAGCTAACGTACTGAATGAATCAATCGAATTAGCAGGAAGCCGAGTAAACCAGCTCAGCGCTCGCCCTTTTAATGATGTTGGGAAGATTCGGCACAAGGCAGCGTCGTCAGTGGTGCTCAGAGTAACCTGCGTTAAAAACACATCCACGTGCTCGTCTGGGTCGGTGGTACCATCGTACTTGTCGAGTGGCAAGGACTTCCAATGGTCAAGAAGTGCAGACTACATAATGTTTGGTGTGAAGGGGTGACGATGTGCTCCGACCGGTATTGGTTGCATCGGCCGACCGACCGAAGCATGTACACCTGGGGCAGCGACAGAAGTGTGAGGGATAGAGGTGTGATGGCCGTGCGAATGGAACGACCCCTGAGTGTGGGTCGTCTCAGAGGGTTTCCATGTGGGATCCCGGTACTGATTTTTAAGGGCAACATTCTCCTCTCGCAATGCAGCCATCCCGGCAGCATCTCTCTTCCTTTGCTGTTTCATGGCGGCCATGTCTTCCTTCATTTGGCGCACCATCTCGGTCAAGTTTGTCTCCTCTACCGTCTCGGCATTGTCTGCCCTGGACGGGTGCTCATCTTCGGACTGGTGGTTTTCAAGGTTAGTTCTTCTTGTCTTTGCCATAATGTCTTCAAAGTCTCTTCACAACTATCGGTTCGGCCCCACGGTGGGCGCCAAAATGTACCTGTCTGAGGGTACACTCGTAGTCTTCTTGGTGGTGAAGGGCCGAACGGATGCTTCAGGCGGATTCTTCAGAGGGGGAGGTACCTGCAAAAGGCACTCCGACGCTCAAGTTAGGACAAGCACGATATTCTAGGGTAATTAATGAATAGTGACATACCTCGATATAAATGACCTATTTATACTACTACTGATGGGCCTTATCAGCAGTGGCCCTTTTCTAAAGCTTATCAAATTAGGTAATATGGCGCTAATCGGCTAATTATGTCTTAATCATGTACTTATCCTTGTTAACCGTGATCGACATTATAATCCTTGCTTTGTCCTTCGGCACATCACCGAGTCGACGGGTTAAGGCTTTGGGTGCTGAACGTCTCGGCTGTTGGTCGGGCCGATACGTATTTGTTGTGCTATTCTACTTGATCGGCATTTGGCTGAGCTGGTGCACGGTATATGGAGATGTATCATGGTTTCGTTCGTATCGGCCTTACACCGAGCCGATATTGCTGTCAGACTCCTTTCGTCCTTCGGCTGTAGGCCGAGCCGATGCTAGCGTCAAGGTTTTAGTTATGGTTCAATTCGCGTGGGTGTCTGACAGAACGGCACGTGTTGGTCAACGTGACCAATAGGGTCCTCCCGGTATAGAAAATATTATAAATTGACGTTTATTCTATATTATAATAATTTTGGTGAGAGAAATAAAATATTTTTTAAATTCAATAAAAAGTTAAGTTATATATTGGGTTAAGTTAGTTTGGCCTAACTCGGTGTATCTAGGCCAAATGATAATTTCAGGTTAGGTTATACTAACTTATATTACTTTTAAATTGTTATTTTTTGTCCAAATGTTTGATAAATTGGTCTTAATTGAAAATAAAAAATTAAAATGTTTTATATAAAAAAAATATACAAAAGTTTCAATATATTGACTACAAGTTGGACCCAATTGGCCTTAATTGAAAATAAAAAAAATTTAATCTAATTTTAGAGAGAGTGTGTGTTGAAATTTAACTTATTTTACTTTTTTTCTTCTATAATTTTTTCAAAGATAGATACAAAGAAATAAAAATACTACAACTCAAAATTTTTTATTTTAATTTATATTTTAATTTATGATTTTTTTTAACAATTATTATTAATATTAAATTATTAATTTATATTTTTTATTTTTCTATCAGGTCAACCAGGTCTAAGCCTATTTGACATGTTGGGTTATGCAGATCAAGCCAAAATGTTATGATTGTATTTAAGTTATTTTTATTAAGACTCACATTAATTTTATTAATGAGCTAGCCCGGTCAGTTCATTGGACTAACTTAATTTGACATTTCTAATAAAAAATGATATCTATAATTCTTACCATTTTTAATAAATTTTAATTATTAATAAAATATATTAAAAATTTATATTAGAAAATGTATTTGATAGTGTGAGAAGTGTTCACATTCTCTAATATGTTTTTATTGTTAGTCAAATTTTATTAGAAACTAGAATAAAGTTATGATGTAAGTTTTATTAAATAAAAAGTAAAATTTCACAAAATTTATTTTTTTTAATAAAATTTATTCAATAATAAAAATATGTTAAAAAAAACATGTTAAATAAAAAGGTTTGGTCTAAAAGGAATTAGTTTTGACAATATAAACAAGTTTGAATTATCAATGAAAAAGTATTTCAAATAATGTGAGTCATCTTCATTTATTCCCTTTTATTTCTTTCATTCTTAAAGGTTTTGAAGATATTAAATTAATAAGCAGGTATCTGTATTTTATTTTTTTAAGTTTTTAAGTCTTCTAGTTAAAATCACTAAAAAAAATCTTATAGTTTATAAATTTTATAACTAAATTTTGCATTCATTAACACTGTTATAATTAAGTTAGTTTATCTTGACTTAATTTTGTGACATGACAATTACTTTTCTTTTATATTATGAAAGAAATTGAGAGACATAAAATGAAGAAAAAAAATATTCCATAATCATAATAATTAAAAAATAGAAAATAAAAGAAACAAAAGAGATTAATGTTTAACTATGTCTCCAACATAATTAGTTGGATTGAGGATACTTATGTTTAGAGGTGTAAAAATGGTAGAGTCTGTCGTTGATTCCGACCTAACAAACTAATAGGACCAAGCTGAACTAACAAAATTTAGGTTCGAAATCTATCAAGTTTATTTGGCTCAAAAATTTATATTTTTCTTTGTAAAATTTGAATAAAATAAATAAATAAGTTAAATTAATTTAATCTGGCCTGATAAGTCACCAGATTAGGCTGGAACACTACTTGTAAAAAATTTGAGTAGGATCATACTAATCCACTTATAAGCATTGGACCTTGCATGCCAATCGGGCCAAGTTGGATTAGTGTGTTTGGATGTGATTTGGTAATTCACATTCTCCCTTGAATTCACATCAATTATTATAATTGATACAAAAGTTATTGTACTATCCGTACCGTTATGCCGAGCTCAAGCTCGGTATCATAGCGCAGGACAACCTCAGACATGTGCTGGGAGATCTCGGTCTAGACAAAATCCGCTATCTAATCAGATCATAACTGATCTCAGGCCCAAGGCCCAACGAAATCCTAATTCACACCAAGGTACGTGCATTACTTATACGAGACTAATACTCCCACAAACACTAACTTTAGCATCGGAGTCTCTTTTGCAGGTACCACCCCCATCTTGGAGCATCAACGTACCAGTGAAGGAGGCTCACCGATCTTACCCAGCGGATCATCCCTACCTCGGATTCCCGGTAAGAACATTTGGCGCCCACCGTGGGACCGATCAAGACAGCTCTTATCGGCCACGCTTATGGTTTTCACCAGAAGCCATAGCAGACGTGCAACAGACGACCTAGATCACACCACTAACATGGATAAAGAAGCAGCATTGAGACGACTGATCGAGCAGGTCAAGCAGATGCGGCAGCAACACGCCACAGATCTACAAAAGTATGCGTGCCAAGCACAAAAATGACCTAGCCGCGATGCGTACCGCTAATGAGGCTGACCTAGCGGCGCTACGCGCCGAGAACGAGCGTATTCGCGCTCAACTCCCTCGGCGTCCCTCTGATCAACCCCCTCAACAAAGCAACCTGCATGAGGAGGAAGGGCACTCGGTTTCTCAACCGCCAACAACGTCTAGGGCACCAACCCCCAGGCCTGCCACACATCGGTCTCACATACCGACCAACAGGTCGACACATGACGTAAGCAACGCTCCTGCCCACGTCACGGGAAATCAAGCGACCTTCCGCCGTCATCCTTTTGTGGACGGCATCATGGAAACACCTCTCCCTTTCGGGTGGAAGCCTCTCCACATCAACCGTTACGACGGCACCACGGATCCGGACGAGCACATCGATCTGTATACCACACAGGTAGATCTTATTTTATTTAAGTCTTTTAGTTAAAAACACTAAAAAAAATCTTATAGTTTATAAATTTTATAACTAAATTTTGCATTCACTAACACTGTTATAATTAAGTTAGTTTATCTTGACTTAATTTTGTGACATAAAAATTACTTTTCTTTTATATTATGAAAGAAATTGAGAGACATAAAATGAAAAAAAAAATTCCATAACATAATAATTAAAAAAATAGAAAATAAAAGAAACAAAAGAGATTAATGTTTAACTATGTCTCCAACATAATTAGTTGGATAAAAGATACTTATGTTTAGAGGTGTAAAAATGGTAGAGTTCGATGTTGAGTTGGGTTAGATTTTATAAAATGTGGCTTGAAAATAATTAAGTTAAATAAATCTAACCTAACAAACTAATAGGACCAAGCCGAACCAACAAAATTTAGGTTCGAAATCTATCAAGTTTATTTGACTCAAAAATTATATTTTTCTTTGTAAAATTCAAATAAAAATAAATAAATAAGATAAATTAATTTAATCTGGCATGATAAGTTACCAGATTAGGCTAGAACACAAAACTCATAAAAAAATTTGAGTAGGATCATACTTAAGGCCGACCCAAGTATAAGGTTGTCGAAGTTCTAATTTTAAGTCCCCAAAATATATTTTTTTTACTTATAAAACTTAAGGAATCAGTTGTATTAGTACTAACTTTGATTTGATGATCATTATCTACACCTAGTATTGTAAGGACTGCGGTTTGATCCTAGTATTATATTTTTTTGCTAAAAGTTCCTTTTTAATGAGTGACTGTTGATTTTCTTGCTACTTTCTCTTATCTTTAAAAAGACCAAATTTCAAAATTTATTTTAAGCCTCAAAATATGTTAGGTCAATCTGAATCATATTAATCTACTTATAAACATTAGAGTAATCAAACCAAATTGGATTAGTGTGTTTGGATGTGATTTGGTAATTCACATTCACCCTTGAATTCACATCAAATTATTATAATTGATACAAAAGTTATATATATTAATTTCTAAAAATTCACATCACTTTAGCTTTAAAATGAATTTCAAATATGTTTTTAGCTTATGTTAAACTAAAAAAAATGTTACGAGTATATATTTGGAACCAAATCCAAAATATGAATTATCACTCTCTCTATTTCTACATCTTACAGAAGAAAAGGAAAAAAAAAAAAAAAAAAAAGGTTTTTCATTCGATTAATGTGATTCTTGTTTGGAGTCGATTTTAAACATGTATTCAATCATTCCATAATTTTTTTCTTTGGTGCAATAAATTCGTTCATGGATGGTGAAGGGACTTTCACTCCAAAGTTTGTCGTCATTTATTGCCTTGCATACATCACCATGAATCTCTTTCTCATCTCCCGGTTTCTGTGTCTAGCCATCCACACCAAAAAGTACATACTACACAGCTACATCACAAGCCTAATATTAGTAACACACTGTTTCCATTTCTCTCTCCTAGTCTCCTTCACACGTCAAACCAAATAACAATACAATTCCCCTCGTGCCTTTAGTTGTTACATTGTGTAGGGTAGCCTCGGCACTTGCTTACCCCATTTGAGTCATGTTTCTGTTCACGTTACCATCTTGTTTTAAAATAGCTAAAAAACCAAAGGGCTTTCTCCAAATTGTTTCTGAGGCCCCCTGCTGTGAACAGAAGAGAGAATCAAGATATTTTGATTGCATTGCATTGCATTACAGTGAAGCATATGATAATAATAATAGTAATAGTTATAGTAATAGTAATAGGTGTTGTTGAAGACAGAAGAGATCAGAGAGGGCCCGTTAAAGGCTGCAACACAAATGAGTGGCACTGCACCAAAGGCTACTACTACTGCCTACTGTGTTCTCTCTCTCTCTCTCTTCTTGTTTTTACTCATTCGTGGCTCATCCACCTCCATCTATCTCACACCTTTTTCATTCACTTCCAACAATATTAGGTGCATACCTCTTTGTTTTGGAATCTAATCTCTCTTTTCTTCTTCAGCTTTTACACTATCTTCAATGCTTTTGGTTTTCTTTGAGGTGGTTGTTTTTTATTTGCAAAAGGACCAGATAAGACAGATGGGGTTGTTTTTGCTTCTAAAGATATTAATAGTCTATTTCTTTACATTTGTGTTTTCTGCTTATGGTTATAAATTGTATTCTTTAAAGGTCAAATTTGACGATCCTCTACCTTTAGAACTTGGAATAGCCAAAGCTTATTTTTTTTATGTTCCTTTTTTGTTTTTGTAGGTTCTTGGAGGGTAACTACAAATCTTTTGAATAAGTTTTCAAATGATGGCTCCACTTGTTTTGGTGGGTGATAAGTGATAGGTACTAACTCCTTACCCCTGTGCTCAAGGGAAGGTTGCTTCACTTGGTTTTGCTAATGAGCATGCTTTTGACTTTGTTCTTCTCTTTAAATCATTTGCTTAAAAAAGCTATCTTTTTATTAATTTTTACCTTTCATCTTTCAGTAAGTGGTCTAGTTTGGAATGATGATCAATCAAGTCACATGTGGCACTGTTATCTATTATTTTTTCTTGTTGCCTTGTTCCGATTTATTTTCTTTTATTGTTTGCAGCATGGACCTATTTTCCTCAAGAGTAAGGTAATTTTTCCAAGTCAGGGGATAGGGAGATTCTACCAGTTCTGATTACCATTAATTTGAACAGTGGCAATGCTGTTCTGAAAGACCATTGAAAGAAATATCAAGAGCCTCTTGTTGCATTTCCTATATGGAGAACAATATGTACAGTGCTCCACTGGACATGGCTGGCCGAATTTCTACTGCCATAGAAGAAATTACACAGCATTTAGCACCAAAGCCACTGGTTCATTGCTATTCATTTGACCTCAATAACCAAAGCCACATTATAGATGGAATTCCAGTACTTGCTGGTGGAGAGCAAGGTGAACCTACAAGTGATGTCCATGTAGATGGTTGCTTCATAAACCCTGCTACCATTGCTGATTCCAATTCATTTATTGCATCACAAGGAAAAACTGTTGTAGGAGATGCCTCAAATCCTATTAACAACAATGACTTTCACGAACATTTAGCTGGAGGAAGGCCAATTACTTCTGCTTCACTAGCTGCTAGAATTAGTCTTCAAGAAAATCTAGAGAATTCTTCAGCAGCTTTGCCTCCTTCATTCTGTTCATTGGAGGCAATAGGACCATATATCTTCAATAATTGGCAGGACACATCAAACCCTTTACATGCAACTTTTGGTGATCATGCCTATGATGAATTACCTGGTATTCATAAGTGGAATGTGAACAAGTTTCTGAAAGCTCCTGAGGTTGATGGGACTGGGATCCTGGCTTATTCAACCATAGGAAATCCAAACCTGGATCAAAATGGATGGACATCGTCAAATGTTGCAAATTTGGCCAATCTTGCTTACAATTCCTCTAATTGTAGTAATGAGCTTTCACTAAGTCTTGCAAGATCTCCAACTACAGGTCAGTGCTCAGAGATGAGCTGCTCTGACGTGTCTAATCGCATGAATGTAACAACAATGTCAGGTTTGGAGCAACCCTCCTGCAGCAGCAAGGATTTGTCTATGAGATTAGATTCTAACAAACATGTCCAGTTTTCACCAGCAATCTTGGGGTCCAGATACCTTGCTGGAATTCAAGAGATACTTACTCAAATTGCAACATATTCATTTGAAAACGTAGAGCTGATGAATTATTCAGTTGCTGGTGTTAGAGCAGGAGGGAATAATAATTCAGCTTCAGCTTTCACACCCAAGAGAAGGGTAGCAATTAACCAAAATGCAAATTCCATGTTTGAAGCACATGTAGAAGAATCTCCGTTGGAAAGACATGCAACTGAATCAAACAAATCCCAACTTCTCGTTCTTCTACAGCTGGTAAAATGCAAACTCTTGCGCCCTTTTGTTACCAGTAGAATAGAATAAAATTCTATTTAAATACAAGTTAGAAGCGCATTTGAGAGTTTCTCAACTGAAAATAAAAAATATTTTTCAATAGAAAAACTCTCGAAGATTCTAAGTTATGTTTGTAGTTGAACTATACATGTTTACTTTGCAGTTTCCATTTTGAGTTTAATTTCAATAAACACTTAGTTTAAATAATTGTCAATTAATCAAAATCATCGTTAACTTTTTAAAATAGTTATTGTTAAAGCTAGCAAACTATATATTGTGATTTGTGAGTGGATTACGAAGTAAAAGTTATTTATATAGTTAGTTCGTAAACTATATATTCTTTTATTTTTCCTAATTAAATGGGAAAATTTGGTAATACTCATGATAATGGTTAGAGAAACAAATTGTGAGAAATTGATAGTAATATATGAAAGTTTTCATCCTGACATAATGAGAATAATCATCTTTTTGTGATCAGGTGGACAACCGATACAGTGAGTGTTTGGATGAGATTCATACTGTTGTATCTGCATTCCATGCTGCGACTGAGCTGGATCCACACATCATGCATGCACATTTTGCACTTCAAACGATCACTCTCTTATACAAGGACCTGCGAGAGAGGATTAGCAATCATATTCTTGCCATGGGACCAGATTTTAACAGCTTGTGCTCAGAAGAGGAGAAGGAATGGTGTGTTGAAACTTCATTCATTCAAAAGCAATGGGCTCTCCAGCAGTTGAAAAGAAAAGATCACTTATGGAGGCCCCAAAGGGGCTTGCCAGAAAGATCTGTCTCAGTTCTACGCGCTTGGATGTTTCAGAATTTCCTCCATCCGTGAGTTTCAAATTATAGAAGAATATAAGATAAAATAAATTAAACTTATTAGTTTAAATCAACTTACATGCATCTTAACTTTCATTGAAGCTAGATATGAAAACTTCTGTTAAAGTTGCACCTAGACTAATTTATCTTAACCTATAGAAGTTTATTTATTTATTTTTTCTGTAAGTACTTGTCAATAAGCTTATCTAAAGTTGGGCCACAATCATAAGCTTTTTGAGCTGCGATCATCTTATAACTATTCAGTGAATTTAAAAGTTGTGCATGGATCCATCCCAAATCCATGTTTTTTAATATGGCATGATTTGATGGATTTCAGGTATCCTAAAGATGCAGAGAAGCATTTACTTGCAGTAAAAAGTGGGTTGACACGAAGCCAGGTACTAGTTGCTCTTGTTACACACATCCTTTGATCCTTGCCAAATAGTGGTTGTTTGGGGAGGAACAATCTGCTTTGAAAATGCAAACCTTTAAGAAAATAAATAAATAGCAAACATGTTAACATTGATGATGATTTGAGCTGTATTATGGTTGATTGATCAGGTATCCAATTGGTTTATCAATGCGCGGGTTAGGCTATGGAAGCCTATGATTGAAGAAATGTATGCTGAAATGAATAGAAGAAAAGCTTGTCGAAATGAAGAAGGAATGGAGAGCACTCATAGAAGCAGGTTAAGCATGAACAATCAAATGTTGAATATCAATTGAAGCTGGAGAAAGTCACTTGCAATCAGTTTTTAGATGTTTCCAATATTATTCTTCTATCAATATTTTTCTTCCATTTGAATAGTAAAGTAGTTGCTAGGGCTTATTATAGTGATAAAAGACTGGGCCTTTCTCCTTTTGGCCCATCTTGGAAGTTGGAACATAAGTTTTATTTATATATGTTCAAATTAATTTTGTAAAGATGACAAAAAAAATATTGCAAAATGCTGCTAGGTGTATGATTTATTACTTCTCATGGCAAGTTTTTTTTCAGGCTTTTACCTTTTTTTTTACTAAGATATAATTATATATATATATATATTTTTTTTTGATAAGCAAAATAAATTAATGGGAGTACAAGGGGTATCCCAACCCGTTACAAAATACAAAGTCACCTAAACAAAATCCAACGTAATCCATACAAAAGGTAATCACTTGATTGTACTTAGGGATGGCAACGAGGCGGGGCGGGTACGGGTTTCATGATACCCGTCCCCGTCCCCGCAAGTTAAACTCATCTCCATCCTCGTCCCCATACCCTTCGGGTATAGATTTTCATCCCCATCCCCGTCCCTGTCGGGTATCGGGTATACCCGTACACGTATCCGTACCGTCAATTTTTTTATTTTTTATTTTTTATTATAAAAAATGATATTTTTTAATTATTTTTTTATTATATTATAATTATAATTAAGTTATTTCTTTATCTTATATTATAATAAATAATCACACATAAAAAAATATTAAATTTTTTTAATATAATTAAATTAAAAGTGAATATTAAATTAAAAATGAGAACGGGTACGGGTACGGGGTGGGTAAGTACATACCCGTACCCGTACCCGATTTAATATATCAGGTTTTAACCGTACCCGTACCCGGTCAAACCGGGTATTCCCCGTCAAAGTCGGGACGGGTTCGGGTATTACCCGCGGGTACGGGTATATTTGTCATCCCTAATTGTACTGTCTACCACCATTACAAAACTAGGCCAAAAAATGTCATCTAATAATCAAAACAAGTTCAGTAATCAGAAAATCAGATATAAAACTAACATCCTGATGTGTACAGAATCAGAAAGAATCATTATTCCATAAATTAAGGCAAACACCAGGGAAAGAAAATCTCGCTGAGAATGGGTAAAAAAATGACTTATCTTTGGTCTTAATCTAGTTCCAGCTACGTAGTTTGATTAATTCCACTAAATCCGTAATTGCCACCACTTTGTCTTTAAAAATTACATAATTTCTAGCAAGCCACAAAGACCAAATTGTGGCTAACCAAACAACAGACCACCTCATCCTATCTTCTACCACTGCATCTAGGAAATCCAATAAAATGAGCAAAATTTTCATGACAGGAGTTGTGTAAAACTGTTGAAACACCAAACCAAGCAAACACAGATAACCATACAGAATAGGCATAATAACACCCGAATAATAGGTGAGAGGTATTCTCCAAATCTTCACCACACCAAGCACATCCACTAGCAGAAATATTAAGAACCTTCCGCTTAATTAAGTTACATTTACTTGGTATCCTATTCAGCAAGGCTTTCCAAGCAAAACCTGATACTTTAGAAGGTACACAACTAGACCAGAGAAATTTATGAAGCGAAAAATCTGCGTAAATACCATCATTAATCACCGCCTTGTATGTTGATTTCACATTATATATCCCATCATTAGAATCCTTCCAACACCACCTATCACAACAATCATTCTTTAAGACAGTTGATCCTAAATCAGCAGCTAATTGTGATAATAAATCTAATTCCCATTGAAATAGACTCCTATGCCAAGACCAAATCCACTCAAAACCTCCATCCCTCCAAAGCACCATGTTTGCGACTGATACATCCTTGTCAGAAGCTATAGAGAACAATCTACTATATCGATTACAAAGAGGTCCTTGACCACTCCAACCATCCTTCCAAAAAAAGGTATTTCGACCATCCCCCACCACCTTGGTACACCTAGAAGAGAACCAATCAAATGATGTGTATGGAGCAGAATCAATGGTCCACAGATCAACCCACCACTTTGAACTTTGTACTTTATCACCAACTCCCTGAAAACAACCCTCCCCATAAATAGAAGTGACAACCCTATGCCAAAACCTACCCTTTTCAACTAACAGCCGCCATCTCCACTTTCCAAGGAGAGCAAGGTTAAATGCTCTAAGGTCTAGAATTCCCAACCCACCATGTTCCTTTCCCCTACACACCTCCTGCCAAGCCACCCAAGCAATTTTCCTATGATTTTCATCCCCTCCCCAAAGAAAGAGTTTAAAAAGAGATTCAAGTTTAGAAATGATGCCTTAAGGAGCCTTGAATAAAGAAAGATAGTAGATCGGAATGGAATTAAGGACTGATTTCAAGAGGACACTACGCCCACCAAAGGACAGAGTTGAAGACTTCCATTTTGATAACCTCTTCTTCTCTTTAGAAATCACGGGCTCCCAAGTTTTGATACAACGTGGATTTGCCCCAAGAGGTAACCCCAAATAGCAAAAAGGTAAGGAACCAACCTTACAGTTTAGGAACTGAGCCATCAAGTTTAACACTTCAATATTAATATTGAACACAAAGAGCTTGCTTTTATGAAAATTAACTTTGAGACCCGCAACCAACTCAAAAATCTGTAAGATGGATTTTATCGCCCAAACATTATGTAAAGATGCTCCACCAATAACCAAAGTGTCATCTGCATATTGAAGGTGAGACACACTAACTGATTGGTGTCCAACTGAATAGTCACTAAACACCTAACATTCCACAGCTTTGCTCATCAATGCATTAAGGCCCTCAGCAACTATAAGAAATAGAAATGGAGCAAGTGGATCTCCTTGTCTTAGTCCCTTGCCAACCCCAAACTCACCAGTGGGACTGCCATTTAATAGGATAGAAATTCTTATAGTGCTCACACATTCAGCAATCCACTAAGATATAATTATATATAAGAGATTAATTTTAATAAAATATTTTAGTTAAAATTTTTAAGCATTTTAACATTAAAATTAGCATATCATTGAAAGAAAAAAAATTGTAGACAATAATACAATATAAAACATTACAATGATATATAATTGACTTATTAAGTAACAATTCTACATTTCAATTACTTATTTAACTAGTATACAATCATCCACCAATTATTGTTACATACAATTTGCTACTTTTCTGCATGCTATTTATCCATATCAAATAAAGTAATGTAACAAAAGATAGTATGATAAAATCATTTTCCATCTATGAATGACTTCTAATTAAACACTGAACTTTGGAAGACAACTTAATTTTTTTCATAACAAAAAGGCTAAAAACTTATTTTGGTCCCTTATAATCTTTTTGAGCTTCATGCACTTGCCAATGCTCTTCTGGAGCATGAGACCCTTACAGGAAGTCAGATAAAGGCATTGCTTGCACAAGTTAGATTACAGATGCAGCAGCAACATCAGCCACAAACAGTTGAAGCTCAGAG